ACGACTTGATACTTTTGACTTTTTAAAAGTTGATAATCCCCGTAGCAAAAGATTTTGCAATTCATTTGTTAGAGCTACATGCAACAATGAAGGCGCAGTTAAAAGAAGCTCAAGAACAACAAAAGATTAATGGGGATGTCTATCGAAAGGAATAACCACCATTCCACATGGGTGACAAAGTATGGTTATTTCATCGCAATATCAAGGCCTCTCGTCCTTGTGACAAGTTGGACTATAGAAGGCTTAGACAATTTTCTTTTTCTATATAAATCAATCTAGTTGCATATCGTTACATCTACTAGAGTCAATAAAAATCCATCTAGTATTCCACGTGTCTCTTCTTGAACCATACAAGATAGTAGATATACGAAGAAGAAGACAAGTTTCACTTCCTCTTATAGAAGTGGACAATAATGAAGAGTTTGAAGTGGAAGGAGTCTTAGATTTAAGGTGGAGTCAAAATAAATTGAAATATCTTGTCGATTGGCACGGATATGATATTAGTGAACGCACATGGAAGCCAGTAAAGAATCTTGCAAATACAACAAAGGCGGTAGAGGCTTTTCATCGATGACATCTATCAAAATCAAGATGAAAATCTTCTTTATAAAAGAAACAAGATCTAGGTAAGATAACATTCTACTTTCAATTCTTGTTTGTAGCTTCTTTGTAGTTGTGAAGCTCAGGAAATGGAGAACCAACAACCTGCGGATTTGACTCAAGAGCCTTCGTTTGCTGACCTGCCAGATGAGATATTACGATTGTCACAACCTTCAAGACGATGCAATCGAGATGAAGATCTTCAAGAACGACATGTTCTTACTCGAATAGATGGCAAGATACAATGCATTTGGTATCACAACCTTGGAAGGGACTGCCGATGTTTGGTGATTTTACTAGACGTAGGAACAACTCTTGATGGTATTCCAAATGTTTTATTCGAAAGAAGTTATGAAGGCCTCAACAATGATCAAATAACTGGATGGTCTTCCCGCCCTGGTATAGGACACTACCGATGGTTGAGAGGCCCTATCAATCATCTTCGAAGAGAACAAAGATCAGAGTATGTGGCGAATATAATTTATCGCATCATAGATTTTCTCAACACATGAGGACCGCTCCTCGTGGAACTCGTCGTTAGAAGGGAAGGTAATGTCATGGACATACTCATAATTAAATATATAAATAGATAGAAGTAAGTAAAAGTAGATAAAAGTAAGTTAATTCTATAGTATTTGATATAAAAGCTTCCTAGAAGCCTCATAGATGCTGCTTTGACTTCATAGGTGTCTTTAATTGACTTTTTGGATTAGAAACGTGGTCAACAAGTTGGCCATGTACCACATATGTTGTTAGCTTGAAGACCAAGCTAACTATGTGGCCCACACGTAGAAAAACTTGCCTTGTAAGTCAAGGCATGTGTCCTACAAAGTCAACACATATTGGAGGTCCTATAGAACATCGCCACATAGCCCCTAGTTAGATAGTATATATAGAGACAAGAGTGAAGCTTTCTTCACTCTTGTCAACTCCTTTCTTGCTTCCAATCTAGTTTCAAGGGTCTCTACTTTTCTTGTGTTTTGGCAATAGCCATTCCAGTTTCTTTCTTAATATACATATCAAGTTATTTCTATTTTGTCATCTTTCTTTGAGAGAAGCCTCACTTCTTTATTTGTTTTTATCATGTTCTCATCCTTGATAATTAGACAAAGATCTATATCAAAATATATCTTTGTTGAGAATCAACTTAATTAAGCAAAGATCTATACTAAAATAGATCTACAAAAAACATATAATTTGATATTTATTAAAAAATGGAATGAATAAAAAACTATATTTCAAACTAAATATAGGCATTTTGAATATAATGCCATATCATTTAGACTCACAAATACCTTAGCTATTTTTTAACATCTCATAAATAATATTTTTTTATAAGTTTTTAGTAATTTTATTATTTATTATCTAGATGACATCTAAATCTATTCCAAAAAGTATTAAAGAGTATGAATTTCATATTTGTAGGAAGTTATATTAATTAGTCCTTGAAATTTAGAGTTTATTACATATATACGACTTCATTTAATATTTTCTTGCTTCATATATAAATCCTTGATTGTGACATCATGGATTTTCTAGAATATATTTTTTTATATATAGCTCCAATAGACAAAGATCTACATCTAATTATAGAAAGTTATACTTAATTAATTCTTCAAGTTTAAGATTTTTTTTAGTGGAATTGAGCTGCCAAGATGTATTGTATATTATATGATCTTAATTGTTGTTATTAAAATGAGAAATGACCACTCTCATTGATATATTCAATATATCTTTGAATATATGGAATTCATAGTCTTAATATGGTGCCTATAGAATTAGCACCAACACAAGTGTCTATTTGAAAGAGTTGTAAGTATGTATACATATTGTGGATCATATAAATTTTACATAATTTTGTAGTGGTTGAATTAAAAAATGAGAGAAGAATGCAAATTTATCTACAAATCACTTATAATAGTTGCTGCAATTGAAAAAAACTATGAAGTTATTTGATTATTATTAGTGACAATATTATAATGATTATCTTTACTTTCTTCAATTCAATCATAATTTTAGCCTTGTTGACAACGTATTTTAAAAGAGTTTGTATTTTACAATAAATATAAATTAAGAGAGATTAAAGAATATATATGCAACCCTACATGCAAAGAAGTTTTTTGAAGTATCTTTGTGTGCTTCTAGATGGAGTTGTAGGCACATATATTATCAAGGTAGAGTGCCAAAATCTTTTTGAAGGCTATAATGACTATAATTATATATCATTAGAAGGTTTCTAGTGCATTTTGGAACTTAAATGGCATAATAAAATTAACGTATCTATCGCTATTAGTGACAAAAGTAATTTTGTGGTTATACTTGGGAATTATAGCTATTTAGTTATAGTCCAAGAAGCCATCCATGCTCAATATGCATTTATGCATTATAACTCGGTTAAGAATGACATCAATAAAAAAGCATAGAGAAGAAACTTGACATAGTATAGTTATCAAATTAATTTATTTTTATTTATTTTTATCTAATTTCTTTAATCTAGATAAATATATATGTCTTTGATACATAGCTTCTAATTAAAAAGTGTATATAGAGGAAAGAGTGAGGCCTTCTTTATTCTTATCAATTCTTTTTTTTAATTCTAATTTAGTTTCAAGAATCTTCAATTTTTTTAATTTTTAGCAATAGCTATTCTAATTTTAACTTAAATATCCATGTTTATTTATTTATTTATTTATTTATTTATTTATTTTCATGTCTCTTTAATATATGTCTTGCTTGTTTATTTACATTCTTTGAATTCTTGTTCTTGGTAATAGTATAATTCTTCCACCATTAGCTTGTTATTGCCCACCAATAGCTTCAACACCTTATTCTTCTTATTCTTTAGTACCTCCATAGCCTAGTTTTATATTTTATTTTAAAGATAAGCTACCAAATTACTTGATCTTTGTAACAACCTTTACTTTTAATAATTTTTTATCACTATTTGTAATAAACGTCTCTACCTCAAGGAAGTTTTGTTACACTATGATGGATTTGAGGACCACCAAAGCCATAGCCTTGACCTCTAACACCATGCCCTTTACCATGCCAAGTACTTTATGTGCAATATTGTAAAATCAAATTACTCATAAGAGCATGATGATGATACATAATAAGATAAGAAAAGTGAAAATGAACAAAAACCATATACTCATGCTAGACTCAATTCAAGACAGAATATTGGCATGAATGGTTATTAAGATTTATATTTTGTTCATTAATAAGAGTTATGACAATTGACATTTAATCCATCATTTAGGAGATGAAATAAATAAATTAATATAATAAAATATTTATCTTGAATGGAATTATGTTATGTAAGAAAAATTATATATATATATTTAATATATTATAATTAATACTCTATTTTTATATTAACACTTTGAACCTCTAATCCACTATTATAGACCTTCAAAGTATCTAAATCTTTAGTTTTATTGGTTTTTGGCTCAAACTAATATTTCATTTGAATCATTCTTTTTTTATTTTTTGTTCAAAAGTTAATATTGAAAATCTAGCATTTTAATACTAAATCATTAGAATGTTTCATGTTGAATAATATTAAATATAATTAATTGATAAATTAGTTATTATTTTTAAGTTAATAGAAATAAGTGATATTTTAAAAATAATTAAAGCTAATATATTGCTTTGTGCAAATATAATAAAATTTGTCTTTAAATTTTTCTTATTCTTCTCCTTCTTCATACTCTTTATTATAAAAAGATATTCGTAAACATTTCTCATAAAAATGACTTAAAATAACTATAAATTCATTTAATGTTATGATATAAATGATGTACTTGTTGATAAGTAATATTTTAAATTTTCCAATTGTGAATTAAAACAAATAACTATGTTTGAAAATTTTGTTAGAACTTTTATAATTAAAAAGGGTTTTAAAAGTAAAAAATGAATATAGATAAATCAAATAATTAAAAAAATATAAATATAATTATTATTGCATCAATTAATTAAAGATTAATTTAATTATTTATGTTCAAAAAATTCTAATTGATTTAAGATATACTTAATTGAATTTTATTTTTAAAATTAAAAAAAGAAAACATCTAAGTTGAATATTTAAGTTGACATTGAAGGACAAGTTTAATTTAATGTGAATAAATTCAGAGAGTTAAAAAAAAAAAAAAAGCCAATATCTATATCTAACAGAAAATAGTTTTAATTTTTAATATTAAAATTATAATAAAGAATAAAAATAGCACTAACTTTTTTCTATTAGATATATATAATTAAATATAATAAATTGAAAAACTATAAATATCTTAATTAGTGAAAAAGTAACTTTTAAAATATTTATTGAGGATGAAGTAAAAACATTTACGCAAATAATTATAAAGAGAAAAAAAAATACCAAATTTTCATCGTAGCAGGGGGAGGTCCAATGGGGCCGCAAGCCTTGCACGTAATTTCGGGCTACTGCGCGCTGACGATGTATGCGGCGTCAACTCAGCCGCCTCATGTGTAGCCTCCTTTCCTCTCCCTTCCACCTCTCTCTTTGTTTGTGCACTCTTTCGGGAAGTAATTCCTCCTCATCTGCCTTTGGAGGCCTCCTCCACCCCTCCCTTCGGTGGTGCCATCGTGTGCCCTCCGTCCTCTTGCATTCTGTCTGCTTATCGTTCCAGGCCCTCAAGCATGGCCACCACCGTCCGCTCCCGCGGGGTCTTGGTGATGGTCCATTGTTGCGTCTTGTGGATGCTCGCCACAACCTTCGCGAATGCTCTGCGGATGGACCTGTTTCACAAGTTTTCCAAGCAGGCTATTGAAGCGATGCGCAGCCGGAACGGCATGGATTACGCCCAGGATTGGCCCACGGAGGGCACTATCGAGTTCCAGACCATGCTGCGCGATCACGATGTTGCCAGGCACACCCGCACGGCGCGACGGATTCTAGCTGCATCCTCGATGGACCAGTACGTTCTCATCCAGGGAAATGCCACAGAGCAGCTGTTCGGAGGAGGGTGAGTTTCTTCAACGCTTTTAAACTGCTAGAAAGCGTGCTGCCTTTTGGCACCGTCTTCGCACTAGGGCACGAGAGCCGGACGAAATGGCTTGATATCTAGACCGGATCTCTCTTTCTTTGTTCGTCAAGTCTTCACGCCGCTGTCGGAAACATCGATTCTCTGCAGAATGGTTGTCGGTTTCGTTTTCTAGAACAATTCGGCATTGCGGGACGTAGCTGCACGGTGGGTTAGTTTACAGCTAAATGAAATGGGTTGCATTTTTTTTGATGGGTTCTTCGATCTCAACCCCTTAATTATTCTTTTAGCTGCGATGGTGCTTTGCTTCCTTCGCGGGAAAATTGGGATGCTTGGCCCACCTTGTGTTTGCTGAGAACTTGTTTGACAAGTCTCTGTGCGCATGTGTCTCTTCGAAATTGTAAGCCACAGAGTTGCGGCGTGGCATGAAATGCATCCCTTGTTGCATCATCTCGTGGAGTATGCTAAGTATGCCCAAGATTTGTTGCCGTGTTCGTCACATGCGGAAGTCTTGTCGTTTGCGTAATGTCAGCCGTGTTGACGTGGTTATGTTTTTACGCCATCACATGCAGATTACACTATAGTTACATAGACATTGGGACTCCAAACGTGCAGTTTTTGGTGGTTCTGGACACAGGAAGTGACCTGCTATGGATCCCCTGTGAGTGTGAGTCCTGCGCTCCTCTATCGGCTGAAAGCAAAGACCCCCGCACCGTAAGTTCTCTAATTGGACTCCCTTTCCCTGTCCACTCATTGGAGGCCATTCTGGCGAGAGGATTCCTACACAATTGCAATCTTTCGCAAATTGGATTGACAAGGATCTAAATAATGTTGATCCTGAACACTTTTGGCAGAGTCAATTGAATCCTTACACGCCGTCACTATCGTCGACTGCGAAGCCAGTTCTGTGTAGTGATCCTCTCTGCGAGATGTCTAGTACGTGCATGGCGCCAACAGATCAATGCCCATATGAAATCAATTATGTGTCTGCCAACACCTCGACTTCCGGAGCACTTTACGAAGACTACATGTATTTCATGCGGGAATCAGGAGGCAATCCAGTGAAGTTGCCTGTCTACTTAGGGTAAGTAGTTCGAAAGTGAATGCGAGTGTTTATCTGAGTTTCGCCTACTTGAGGTCGACATGCGGGCTTGATGACAAGAATTTAAGGGAGGTCAATCATCGTTGCAGATGTGGCAAGGTTCAAACGGGTTCACTTTTGAAGGGCGCTGCGCCCAATGGACTGATGGGTCTCGGGACGACTGACATATCCGTGCCCAACAAGTTAGCAAGCACAGGGCAGCTGGCGGATTCGTTTAGCTTGTGCATAAGTCCTGGGGGATCAGGGACTCTCACCTTTGGGGATGAAGGGCCTGCTGCACAACGAACCACTCCAATTATTCCCAAGTCGGTTTCGATGCTGTAAGTTTCTTGGCTGTAACTCCTGTCCAATGAAATGGGGCCGCAGCAGATGTGGTGTGCGGATAATGCCGTATCTTTGCGGAGCTTAGCCTCAAAGTTTTAGCAACTTGGATTTTGAAAATGTTTTTTTTATTGCCACGGATGAGACATGGTGTTGACTTGCTGGTAACCCCTCATTGGAACTGGCCATGAATATTGGCTGGCCTGCTCGTGATTTATATCGTGCAGTGATACGTATATTGTGGAGATTGATTCGATCACCGTGGGGAATACAAACTTGCTTATGGCTTCGCATGCTCTCTTTGATACGGGAACCTCGTTCACTTACCTTTCCAAGACCGTCTACCCCCAATTCGTACAGGCTGTGAGTTCCTGTAACTGCTTGTCTTCTGGTTGTGCCTCAACGTCCACACGATTTGGGAACTGAAGGCTGGACCATGTTCAGCCAGCGTGAACTCCTTGCGTACGGAACGTGCTCACAAGCACTGTAGAATGACGTCTGTGAGTTTGTTGTGCTTTTGGTTTGCAGTATGATGCTCAGATGTCGTTACCCAAGTGGAATGATCCCAGATTCAGCAAATGGGATCTCTGCTACCAGACGAGGTTTGTATCCACGACTTCTCAACACATGTCGGTCTTTGCTAGGGATGGCGTGTGAGTTCCTAAAGATATCTAGCTGCTAGAGGATTTCAATGAATCGAGCCTGGATTATTCTAAATGTAAGGATTTGAGGTGCGGTAACTTTAAGGAACTTACGTGTACGATGTTGTTTGTCACGTGGTAAAGCCGTTGGATCGGCTGTTGTACATGCTTGATAACACAAAAATGGATCATTTCGTCATCTCAACAGTCAGATGCGCACGATGTTGTTTTAATCATGTGGGGTGTGTCTTTCTTTGGAAATGCAGCAACACGAACTTTCAAGTTCCAGTGGTCAGCTTAGCTTTGTCAGGCGGGAACTCTTTGGATGTCGTCAGTGGTCTGAAGAGCATCGTCGACGATGTGAGTTTCGCGTTTCATTGTAGTGCCTTTCGTTCCATCTGAATTTGGAGGTTGTCGCATGAATAGATCTCCGGCCGTCCGACTTTTCGTAAAGAACATAATCACGTGATATTTCGAACCGAACCTGCCAATGTTCTGCTGTTGTTATGAGTTTTGTCGTTACTTTATTTTTGACCTTCACTGTTCGCGATCTGTATTCAGAACAATGCGATGATTGCGGTTTGCGTAACAGTAATGGACAGCGGTGCTGGCCTCTCGATCATCGGTCGTAAGTTCAATGTTCTCTCAGTCGACACGGTTCTTTCTTGGCGTTTGTTGTTAGTTAGACATTCATCAACTTCGTTTCAAAGTTGTCTCCACTCCAGCGGCAGTGCAGAGGGACGCATGTAAATGCAATGGCATGCCGTACCTCATCCACGTGTTTTTTTAAAGCTTTGCGAGTCCCACAAGAATAGGCGAAGCATATTGATTGCGTGTTTTCCATTATGCAGAGAATTTTATGACAAACTACAGCATCACCTACAATCGCGCAAAAATGACCATCGGTTGGACCCCCTCGGACTGTAAGGATCCCACCACCTGTTATTTTTTATTAGGTTTTTATGGACTTTAAAATTTTAGTTAGCACGCGCGGATCGCACATAACGCCCCTGCTTTGCACTCCTGATAAATGCTGTGCGGTGCAGGCTCCACTGACCTCACTCTAAGTAATTCCACACCTGGTTCTGTTCCTGCTGCCTTGCCACCGACGGCTCCTCTCCCTGCTGTTCCACGTCCGGCTTCGCCGAATAGCACAGTCACAGCGAACTCTAATGTTGCGACTGCGGTGTTGGCCGACATTCTACCACTGCTACTCGCCTGTCTGATATCATTAGCAGCTATTTTCGGTTAGATAGATTTGGAAAATTGATTCTAATAATCAGGTACTGTGCGCCCATTGAGTTCGACCAAAGCTCGGTGTAATCTAGTCTCTGGATACAGAGCTTGCACACCAAGTTTCTTGAGTTTGTGGCAGGGTCAGCACAGATTTATCGGTAAATTCTCGTCTTGTTAATTTAGCGTAGGAAAAGGTTACTCCCATGAGACAGTAAGCTACAAAGGGTGCACCCAGCTGTAGTCGATTTGATTGAATCGGGAAAATGATTGTGTTCCTCGATCCGTAAGAGCGTGGAGGGAAGAGTTTTTTGTAATTTACATATGTACAAGTTCTTTGATCGGCATCCGAAGTCGCAAGGCTTGATGTCAGGTTTTCAGCCGAGTTTTATTGTATAGACATTAATTATGTTACTTCCAACATTCTCGAGTTTCAACCCGTACGCATGGACACCGGTGGATGATTTCGAAATGTGGGTTGTGGTGGTATAGATCTGGACTGTGAGGTGATGTAGGTGGGTAATAGTTGACCCAAGTCAAAACTCTTGCAGTGCAAGAAGTGTGTTCGATGGGAGCCATCTGCTTTGGCAGGACATCTCGTGAGCTCTCAGGACCAGGGCAGTTCAGGGCAGTTCAACGAAATCTGTCCCCCACTCTACTCTAGTGCACTGCAGATGGCTCACTGCAGATGGCTCCTTATTCACCACCTTGGGATGCAGGCTACCAGATTTGTTCTCATCCTTTACATTACATTAGATCTTCAGCCCCTAGAAACTTTGGTATCTCTTTGTTTCTTTCTTTTAATTTTTAATGTTTACCACAACAATCAAACTATCATGTTTCTTTCACAACGTAAATTTCAACACTTCAGTCTTGCATAAGCTTATATTCTTGTTATCTACCCTATTTCATGGAAGTTTATATTCTCAACTTGTTTATGGAATATATTGGACTAATTAATTTGACATTGAATGTATGTATTGTGTATGTATTCTTTCTTAATATACATATCAAGTTATTTCTATTTTGTCATCTTTCTTTGAGAGAAGTCTCACTTGTTGATTTTTTTTTATCATGTTTTTGTCCTTGACAGATTGACAAGAGTACACTTACAATATCAAAGCTTTGTCTAATCTTGATTAAGAGTGGATTACTCTTTTTTCTTCATAAGACATAAGCATATTAGAAGTTGCGGATTACCTTCTTCTAAACTGATATTGTCCTTAGTATTTTCTTTGTTCTCAAGCCCTCTCTTCTATTTGTCTTGAGTGATATTAGACATCTTTTCTTTTCTAAGTATTATCATGGGAGAACTTGTTGAAATGAAGAGTGCAAAGGCACAAATGCAAGAGCAATTGAGGGAGTTAATGCTTGCAATGCATCAACTCAATTTACCACCACAAGGAGGAACAAGATTCGCAGGAAGTGAAGATATAGAAATGATTGGAGTTGCTTCAACATCTGCACCAAATCATGTCCCTCATCCTATGGTGGAACGCCCTTCCAATATTAGAGAACCAAGAATTGCCCTACCCGAGAAGTTTGATGGCACCAGATCAAAGTTTAGAGGATTTATCAATCAAGTACAACTTGTGATTGAACTTGAACCCCAAAGCTATCCAAGTCCAGAATCGCAAGTTAGATTTATTGATACGCTTCTTTCAGATTTAGCATTATCATGGTTTTCATCTTTTCTTGAACGACGAGATCCAATATAAGAAAATATAGAGGCTTTTTTGGCAAAATTTCGATCCATGTATGGAAAACATGATGCAATTCGTGTTGCAACTAATAAGATTTGTATTTTACGACAAGACAATCGATCAGTAACGTTGTATGCTTCACAATTTTGACAACTTGCAACTGATATCAAATAGGATGATGCTGCACTTATTAGCCAATTTTTCTACGGATTATAATATGAGGTAAAAAAATTAATGCTCAACTTACCTGATCCTCAAACATTGAGTGAAGCAATTGACTTTGATGTGAAGTGCGACAATTACCTTTTTGAATTCCGATTTGAGAACCGTACAAGTGGACCTCAATGTAACTATAATTCAATAGCAACACCAACATCTCTTCAATATATACATTCGGAAGTAGAGGACATGCAAATTGATGCTGTATGTTTTAAATCTCTTATTGAGCAAAAAAAGATTCATTGTCGTCAAGAAGGATTGTGCTTATATTGCGGAGAACCTAAGCACACTGCTCAACATTGTCCAAAGAAGCGACGCAACCATAAAAAGAGGAGTATGGCGATCAAAGGAGATAGCATGTCGAAAAACAAATTTGTCCAGCTATAATAAGGACCGTGCGATTGGAACCTTGTACAACGCCTAGTGAAGGTCCTATCCTCTCCTCAAAACCCTCTCCATGTTTTACAATAAATGTTATTTTAAGACCTAAACATCTATAAGCCTTTGCCTTGTTAGATTCACAAGCCTCAACATGATTCTTAGATGAAAAATTTACTAAAAGACATAACATATTTTTAATAAAGAAAACTAAACCTGTTCATGTAGAAGTCATAGATGGTCGTCCATTGTCTTCAGGAGATATTACTCATGAAACCCTTCCTATAGAAATAGCAACTAATAGTCATAGTAGCTTTATAATATTTAATATCATTAGATCTCTTTCTAACCCGGTCATTTTAGGTTTATCATGGTTAGAAAAATATAATCCAAAAATAAATTGGACTTTTTGTAGTGTTGACTTTTCTAAAAGTATAACTAAGAGTGTAGTTAATCAAGTAGAAAGTCATAAGTCTAATATAATTAAACCTATATTTCTAGGTTTAAGTGCTTTCTTGCATGCTGCAAAAGAAAGATCACCTTGTGTCATTTATGCCACACTTGTTTCTAGTGGTGGAAAGACTTCAAGTGGCATATGAAGCGAATATCAAGATTTTCAAGATGTCTTTGAGAAAAAGAATGTGGATACTGTTCTAGAACATTGTTCCTATGACTGCTCAATTGACCTTCAAGAAAGAGCACAACCGCCATTTGGACCAATCTACAATTTATCTCAAAATGAGTTGGCTGAACTCAAGCAGTATATTGAAGAAAATTTGGCTAAGAACTTCATAAGCTATTCCAAATCTCTAGCAGGAGCTCCAATTCTATTTGTGAAGAAAAAAGATGGATCATTGCGGATGTGTGTTGATTATCGAGGATTCAACAAGATTACCATTAAGAATAGGTATCCACTACCTTTGATATTTAGACTTCTTGATCAGCTTAATCAAGCTAAGATCTATATAAAAATAGATCTCGGGAGAGCATACAATCTAGTACGCATCAAAGAAGACTATGAATGGAAGACTGCGTTTCAAACTAGGTATGAACATTTTAAATACAACGTCATGCCTTTTGGACTTACAAATGCACCAGCAGCATTCCAACATCTAATGAATAATGTCTTTCGGGAGTTTTTAGATGATTTTATTGCCTGTTATCTAGACAACATCTTCATCTATTCTAAGAATCCAGAAGAACATGAACTTCATGTTTGCCAAGTATTACAAAAATTAAGAGATGCAGGACTCTATACCAAGATAGAAAAGTGTGTATTTCACACTACTCAAGTCGACTTCTTAGAATACATCATTTCAAATGATGGACTTATGATGAATCTTAAGAAAGTTCAAACTATTATGGATTAGAAGATTCAAAAAGCAATAAGAGATGTCCAATACTTTTTGGAATTTGCCAACTCCTATCAGATCTTCATCAAAGACTTCTCTCGAGTTGCAGCTCTACTTACACGTTTGACTTGTAAAGACAAACTCCAATGGAATCAAGAAGCAGAAGTTCCTTTTGAATCTTTGAAGACAGCGTTTGTTTCTACACCAATCATATATCATGTTGATTTTTCCAAAGCATTCTTTATGGAAATAGATGTATCAGACTTTGCTCTAGGTATAGTTTTGTCACAAATGAAAACAGATGATAAACTTCATCCAATAACTTTTCATTCTAAAAAATTCTTAGCAGCCGAGATCAACTACGAGATCCACGACAAAGAACTTCTTGCAATCATGGATTCGTTTCAAGAATGGTGCCATTATCTAGAAGGTGCTTCTAGCCCAGTCATAATGTATATGGATCATAAGAACCTTGAATATTTTATATGAACATGTGTTTTGAATCATCGCCAAGCCCGTTGGAGTATGTCTTTGTTAAGATTCGAATTCAAGTTCACTTATCGACCAGAAAAATAACAAGGTTTGTCAGATGCACTTTCTAGATAATCTTATCTTGCACCAAAGGAAGGAGATGCTGCTTTAGAAAAATAACGGACAATTTTCTTGAAGCCAGAGCATCTTCATCTTCGAGCAATGAAATCAACACTAACTGTTGATTCAACTTTCATCAAGCAAGTTCAGTCAAGTGTGTCTTCTGATCCTCTTATTTGTGATATTAAGGAAAATCCTTCAAAGTCTCATGATACTTCCAAGTTTGAATTCAAGAAGAATCTACTATATTTTGAGGGATGCCTATATGTTCCAAAAGGTGAAGCTCGATTACGTATTCTTCAAGCTTGTTATGACTTTCTAGCAGTAGGACATTTTGGATACAATAAAACTTTGGAACTAATATCTAGGGATTTTTTGTGGCCACAAATGTGGAAAGCAGTCAAAGATTTTGTACAATCTTGTGATGTTTGCTCAAGATCAAAAACTCCTTGTCATCGACCTTACGGATTTCTTCAGCCATTATCCATTCCTGAACAACCATGGTCTTTAATTTCTATGGATTTCATCACATATCTTTCAATCTCAAGTTTTTATGACTCTATATTCGTGATAGTGGATCGTTTTACTAAGATGGCATATTTTGTACCATATACAAAATGTATTACATGTGAAGAAACAGCTAAGCTCTTTCTTGACAATATCTATCACTATCATGGATCATCCAAGGATATTATATCAGATAGAGAAACTCAATTTGTATCAAGATTTTGGCGGATTCTTTTCAAGATTCTAAAAGTGGATATAAAACTATTTTCAGCATTCCATCCTCAAATTGATGGACAAACGGAGTGTGTTAATCAAGTTTTGGAGTAGTATTAAAGATGTATCATTAACTACCAACAAGATGATTGGACAACTCTTTTGCCATTGGCAAAGTTTGCTTACAATAATATGGTACATTCTTCTACAAAACAAATATCTTTCTTTACTAATTATGGTTATCATCTATGACTTGATACTTTTGACTTTTCAAAAGATGATAATCTTGTAGCGAAAGATTTGGCAATTCATTTGTTAGAGCTATATGCAACGATGAAGGCACAGTTAAAAGAAGCTCAAGAACAACAAAAGGACAATGCGGATGTCTATCAAAAGGAATAACTACCATTCTACATGGGTAATAAAGTATGGTTACTTCGTTGTAATATCAAGACCACTTGTCCTTGTGACAAG